ATTTAAGCTATAAGCACAGTTAGCAAGAAGCCTGCCACGGCCATACAGTTTGTAAGCAATATAAGTCTCTGTGTTTACTTGGTTGGGTCTGAGCAGCTGTGGGACTGGCGGGTGACAGAGATTTGTCCTGACTGTGGGCCAGGCAGGAAAACTCTAGCTACACCTTAGTCACCGTTCTATCTATCGCTGTGAAGAGACTCATCACAACCAAAGCAACTCTTACAGAAGAAACTGTTTCACTGGGGATTTGCTTACAGTTTCAGAGGATTAGTCCATGATCTTCAATGGCAGGAAGCAGAGAGGCACAGCACTAGAGCAGAAGCTGGGAGCTTTTGAAACCTCAAAGCTCACTCACAGTGACATAATTCCTCCACCAAGGCCACGCCTTCTAATCTTTACCAAACAGTTCCACTGACTGGTGACTAAGCATTCAAGTACATGAGCCTAGGGGGCCATTCTCATGCAAACCACATCTTGTGAACAGAAACATTTTAGAATCACCTGAATTTCATAAATTAAGAAGCAACATGGTAACAAAAGCAAAGTTTAAAAAAAGCAATAATTCTAACCATTTACTCAATTAATAAAAAATTATCATTTTTTGTTATCAAGTAAGCAACTTGATAATATTGTAAATGGATACAAAGCTTACCTAAAGTTAAGATCTTTTACACTGCATGGAATCACTATCTTATCTTCCTCAGCAATTTCCTTCCTCTAATCCCAAGAGCATTCCACACTAACCTCACAAATGAATCCCCTCCATGCTACTACTGCCTCTACTAATCTAGGCTTCTAAAATAAACCAAGCCCCCAGGAAATACTATACAACAGAGTTCTAGTCCTTAAAGAGGAATGAGGGCCACTTAGGCAACTGCTGCACAGTAATGGCTATATTGATTGAATTTTTGTCTATCCCTCATAATCTTTGACATGGTTATGCAATGTAAACATGCATTAATTCTTCTGGGAGAATGATCTAGAAAGTTCTCATTTCATCTTTGATGTAAAGCTGGGATTTTAGTTTAGAAAGACAAAGTTCACGACTGGGGAGACAGCTCCAGAAGCAGTACTTGCTTTATAATGAAGAGGACCTGAGTTTGCAAACCCCAGACTCCAAGTAACAAGCTTGCTAGGTAGTACCATCCTGTAATCACAGCACTGGCAAGCCAGGAGGCAGCAACAAGCAGATTCCTGCAAGTTCACTGGCCAGCTAGACTAGCCCACTTGGTGAAGTTCCAGGCCAATCAGAGACCCTGTCATAAAGCAGCAGGTGCAAGGTCCCTGGAGAATGACAGCCAAGGTTGTCTTCTGACCTCCAAATGCACATGCACATATATGCGGCAAAAAAACAAACAAACAAACAAGGGCGAGGTTCAGAAGAAGTAAACTGCTTTACTCTGAAACATAGACGCCTTCATCATAAGTGTCCAAGATCATAAAGTATTTTAGTAAATTTCATCATATTCTGAAATAAGGGTAAGATTAGAAATTACTAATTCATCAGCAAATATTTATTGAGCATTTACCAACAACACAATTCCAAATGGCTAAAAGAAGATAACAAGGAAATTATAGAAAATGGTTTTATTTAAAATCTAACCAAATTTTTAAAAGTAAATCAATCAATTAAGGGACTGGGTCTATAACTCAGTAGTATGTGTAAGACCCTGGATCTGCTCTTCAAAGGAAGAGGAGACGAGGACACAGAGAAGCATGAAGAAATGAAGGGAAATGGGGAGGAGGATGAAGAGAAAAAAGCAAACTTCCAAAATTATCTAGGAGCAAAACTACAATACCCCAATCTAAGGGTTTCAAGAGATTAGACAAGGCCACCTTTCCAAAGAGTCCTCTGTGTGACCTCACACACAGCTAGCCTGGACCACTAAAAAGTTACCACTTTGTATTTTAAACATTTAAACATTAAGAGCAGTCATTTACAAAACCATTTTAACTGAAATAGTTAAGAAACAAAAGTTAAAGAAAATAGTTGGTTTTTAAAAGAAATTCTTTAGATCTATAAAAACAGTTTTAATTTCAGGCCATATTTTAAAATACATTTTGGTGCCAAAACTATATCAGCTCCAAATATGTCAATAAGCCTTAAATTCTCTTCACTATTTATAATAAATATAAAAGTGTATTGTAATAGTACATGCCACCAGTAAAATTTTAAAGTACTAATCTAAAATTATTTTGCACCTGAAACTTAGTTTTTACTACATAAAAATCATAATAAAATCATTTGCATTCCTACGATTTATTAGTTCTCACACTAATAACAACTCATGAATCAAAGGGTTTGAAAACTGACCTTACTGCATAAACTCTGGAGTTTGAGACTAACTGTAAAGAAATCATCACAACAGCACTGACTTATCTCATGCTCTCACCTGTGCATTTATTATTGTTCATCACACACACACACACACACACACACACACACACACACACACACACACTCCCTCTCTCCACAAAAATGGTGGAAGAATTCATTAGAATAAAATAGAATAAATTCAGTTTACCGTTTTCAGGAATACTGGTAGAAGGTCCTGGTTCTCCAGGTGGCTCTAAGCTATCCAATAAGCGATTCACTTTATTTCGAAGTTCTATCAGTTCTCGACGAAGATATTTCACCTGACTTGATTCAAGGGGTCTTGGTTGGCCATTAACTAAAACAGAATCATTAATTTGCTTCAATTTAGGAGATGAAATTTAGAGTTACTAAAATAACACACACTGAAGAAAAATAAGCAGCACAAATCAGAAGTAGTTTTACCTTCATTCATTTATTTTAACTTGTCTGTGTACATGGAGTATGAATGCGAGGCCTAGGCTGACCTCAAACTCAGAGACCTGTCTGCTTCTGCCTCTCAGGTACTAGGATGAAGGGCCATGTCATGACACCAGGCCTTTGGGTAATCCCCCCTGCCCAGCGAAAAGACAATTGCTTATAGCTTACTTTCTTAAGCAGAAAACATTCCTGAATACAGCAAAAAGCTAGTATTTTTGATACTAGCAAAAATGTTTACTACAAGTACTATAATAAAATACACCAATACTGTAGAAAGCTCCATTTTCATGAAAATTAACAAACTAAAGTTATTTTAATAGAAAATTATGTAACTCCCAAATTATATTTTGTACTATGTAATATTCTTGAAATAATACAAAAACACATTACTCTATATATAATTATCATGACAAAATATGACTAACAGATGTTATCCAGCTTGCCTATATTTGACTTAAACAAACAGTTGCTCCCAAAAGTAATCCATCAAGCCAGGTGTGGCGATGCATTTGGGCATTTGTTTAATCCCTAATTGGATGTAGAGACAGGTGGAATCTCGGAGTTCTAGACCAGCATGGTTTACACAGGAATCTCAGGCCAGTCAAGCCTACATATTGAGACTTTGTCTCAAAAACAACAAAAGTAATCCATTAACTAATTATGCAGAGCTTATGAATCAACACCGTCCTACAAATCCACGGCTTCTACAGGCACTAGGGAAAGCCACAAGTCATTACTTAATCAGCAGGGCTTTTTTTTTTTTTTTTAAAGGAAGGCACATTATCTTATTTAATTACTCATTCTCTTAAAATAGTGTCACAGCTTAGAAAACAAAAATGAAATTGTATTGCTTCCTCATTTCTAGAAGTCCAAGATTCAGCCTCTTACCAGGTATTTTCAAATTGTGTACAACCAAATTTGAGTCTATCTATTAGAACTACCAGTTTCTGGGAAAAGAGAGTTCTCCCATGACTGTGATTCTATTCAAGTTTCCTTGAAGCTCATAGGTGATCCTCCTGCCACAGACTCCCAAATCTTAGGATTATAAAATGATTGTTAATCAAGTTTCTATATAGTATATTTTTTTTAATTTTATAATTTAATTTAATTTTACATATCAGCCATGGATTCCCCTGTCCTCCCTCCTCCTGCCCCCTCCCCCCAGTCCACCCCCCATCCCCATCTCCTCCAGGGCAAGGACATAGTATATTCTTTTAAGAACTGACTTTGTGCTTTGTCTAGTATACATGAGCATGCGTGCACAAACACACACACACACACACACACACACACACACACACACACACACACACACACATTTTAACCAGTTAACTTTCAAACTTCATACAATAATCTTTGAGTATAGCTCCCAGAATAGACATTTAATTAGTTGAATCGTTAAACTGCTCATGTTCAACTCCAATAAGAAACTGCTTCTGTGGATGTGCGCATGCAGGCCACAAGTTGACTGTGCTGTCTTCTACCACTTGCTCTAACTTTAGTTATTTTCAGAACAGGGTCTCTTACCGAAATTGGGGTTTACCCTTTGGGTTAGACTTGTTGGCTACAGAGTCCCTGAGATCTGCCTCTCTACCCACTTAGTGCTGGGGTTACCACTATATCTGGCTTTTAGGTGGGGCTGGGGATCCAAACTGGGGTCCCCATGCTCACATGGAAAGCATTTTACCCACTGAGGCACTCTGCAGCTCCCTCACAGTGCTTCTGACTGGTGCATATGGTCAGTTTACATGTAGTTTGTGTGTTATTTGTTTCTCTACACCCCTTTCCCCTCACCTTCTAGCATGCCAAGCAGGTACACTTTATTTCGTTATGTCCCATCTACTAAGCATTTCCAAACTTTAATAATCATTCTTACAATTCATGCATACTTCAGTAAAAAGTTCTAATGTTACTAACAAATTTATTCCCAAACTAGTCCTTCCAATTTTTTATTCTTACATGTTACTTTACATAAATTACTGCTCATTTTTTCTGTCCTACTTGTTTTCCTGTTCCTAGATTTTTTTTTTAAGATCAATGTTCATTTCAAGTTGAAGATTTTGTGCATCTTTCACTCTCTTGCTGAAGACCAACATTAAAAATTCTAACAAAGATCCACTGGTTTAGGTAATCTCTTTGAAAATGTTTTCACTACCACTTTTTACTGGAGTTTAGTAGACTATAAGATTTCTTTTTCTTAATCATATGAAACGTGATTTCTATTTACCAGCTTTTATTACTAAATGAAAGAAGTATACAAACTGTCTAATTGTTTCACCAGTGATCAATCTTATCGTTTTCTGGCCACTTATATTAAAATAATGACTTTGTCTTACATACTTTCCAGTTTCGAGGTAATACACCTAGTTAGGATTTTTATTTTTTCTTCCTCAAGACTTACCATGTCTCCTGAATCTAAAGCTTCATTTATTTTCTATAATCTTAAAAACTCCCTTAGCTATGTTTTAATATATTTACACTCCATTTTACCCTGGAAATTCTTAATATCAAGTGTCTGTTTCATTCCCATCATCTCCTAGTCTCTAAGTCTGTAGGGTTATATTGCATGTACACTTCATTCTTTCAATTTCATTTTTCATTTCTAAAAAATTACCACGCCCTTTTTAAAATTTAATACTTTTGCATAGTGCCCTATGCTTATACTATTATTCCTTCTTTGAAGTTCTTATAACTTTTGACACACACATTTTGGAGACTATCAATTCTGAAACCAGCTATGCCCACTGTTTCTCTTGCTTACATGGACAACGTTGTGTATCTTATGGATTGGATCACCAGTAGGACTCTGTAAGAAACCAACTATGACTTGGATTGAGATCCAAATTTTTTTTATCATTCTTATACTTTTTTTCTGTTTTATGCTATAAAGACTCAAAACTACACAGAAACTTTAAATTTAAACAAAGTCCATCTAAGGACCATGGTAATAAATTCTCAATGAACTATTCCCAAACCTCCAAGATCCCAGTGTACCCTTGATCTTTCCTGTATCAAGGGCAAGAGTTTTTTCTACAATATTCTTTTTTTTGAAAACAGAGACTACTGAAAGGTCTAGGATCCTGGACTTACACTGCCACAGAAACATGAAATGGTTGTTCTTACATAACGCAAAGTAAAAACTTCACCACAGCCACCAAGAATACTCCAGGTTTCAGCTTTGTTATTCAAGTCTTTCTCAGTCTGTCTCTTTCAGTCTCTCCCTCTTTCTCCTTGCCTGCCCTCACCCCTAGTTCCACCTATTTTCTTTTGCATGTTAATTTTATGTATGTGTGTCTGTATGCTATCTGCATGCCTTCAGGTACCCGCGCAGACCGTGTTGGATCCCCTAGAGCTGGAATTACAGGTGACTGTGAGCTACCCAACATGAGTGCTAGGTCTTCTGGAAGAGCAGCAAGCTCCCTTAACTGCTGAGACCCACATCTGTTTTTATTTTGGTATGGTTCTGTTTCCTAGGCAAGCTGAACAGACACACAGACACACACACACACACACACACACACACACACACACACACACACACACACACGGGGGTGGGGGTGTGGGAGTGGGGACATGTACACATACCCCTTTGGAAAGAAGGAAGAGCTCAGAATATCTAGTCTTCCTTACCTCTGGCCAAGAGACTTTGTAAAAAGGTATCCTCTATTAAAACCTTTAAACAGTTTTTGTTAATATTAAAAAAGGACAGAAAACAAACAACATCAACAAAAAAACCCTGATTCATATTTGCCTTTCCTGGAGAAAAAATATATAAAATTAAATCAACAGATATGGTTGCATTTCCATAAACACTAAGGTTCAGAATAATATAATTTCCAAAAAATTAAAAAGGAAAAAAAAGTAAAGAAAGTAAATATTATAGTTCTTATTTTTCACATAATCACAATTATGCTACTACTTTAACTCTGCAATTATTTCTATTATACCCTATAAGCATTCTACCTGGCAATCTATTAGACTTAAAACAAAATAAAATCTAAGATTAAATTGATCTTACATCTTTTTATCAGCATTATCTTTAGCTTATTTTTCCTTTAATGCTGAAAATAGAACCTGGGTCCCTGTGCATGCCAAGCAAATATACTACTACTGAGCTATATCTAAGACCCATCACTGTTAGCCTTTACTCCTTGAAAAATAATATCCAAAGTAGCAGACTTATATGCTAAGCCCTAAAAAAAGGTAAAAACATATTATAGAGAAAGATAACATAAATAGCGTAACAATGCCCAAATTCTGACATTACAAAATTAAAACTTTTACCAGAGATTCCTAAGTTATATCTTATTTCAAAAACAAAGTAATCTTGTGCTGTGGATATCACTCTGTATGCTGTGAATGTGTTGCTCGGATTTGGTTGATAAATAGAAGTGCTGACTGGCCAGTAGCCAGGCAGGAAGTATAGGCAGGACAAAGAGAGAAGAGAATTCTGGGAAGAAGGCTGAGTCAGGAGACACTGCCAGCTACAACCATGAGAAGCAAGATGTAAAGATACTACTAAGTCACGAGCCACGTGGCAAGGTATAGATTTATAGAAATGGGTTAATTTAAGATGTAAGATCTAGCTACCAAGAAGCCTGAGCCATTAGGCCATAGAGTTTTAATTAATGTAAGCCTCTGTGTGTTTACTTGGGGAACACTAGTGGGAGAGATTTGTCCCGCACTCCGGGACATAGGAAAACTTCAGCTACAATCTTGTTTTGCCTGAATTAAACTTCTACTACTTTTAATACATAGTTTCAAATAATTTAAAGTCGGGGGGAGGGGGGGGAATGCAAATATTTTAAGTATTTAAAAATATAAAAAAAATCAGGAAGTAAATTCATTATAAAGTTTGCCACTCACCAAATAATGTCAGTTTCAGTATTCTACTACACTGAATTGCAAAGGAAAGGTCAGAACTATCAAAAATTGTTATAAGATCTCCATCTGAAATTCAAAAGAAAAAGAAATTCAGATTTGCAACAGTAGTAAAGCAGGTCATACAAACAAAAATGTAAATTACAGACTACAATTAGAATCTCCCCTAAGAACCAAGTATCATCTAAGAAAGATTTTTTTAAAACATACTAAATCAACTTTGCCACCAATCTTATACATATTTATCATATACTCGTGAGAAAATGTAGCCAAAGTTAAGCAGGGTGGATGGTGCGCACCTTTAATCCCAGCACTAGGGACTAGGGAGGCAGAGCAGGCGAATCTCTCTGTTGAAGATAGCCTGCCTGGTCTACACAGAGAAACCCTTTCTCAAAAATGAATCATACAAATTAACTTTTAGTCTTAAGAGATACAACAATATCACAAATTACTAGATTAGATTGAAAAATCTTTCCATTCTAAAACACTTAAATATATTTACCAATTATGAAAACAAGGATTTCTCATGGTTCAAATCCTTACTTTTAATAAAATGCACTACCACAAATCGAGGGAGAGTTACATAAATTAATAGCATAGAGCTGCAAAAAGGGTTACAAGACCACTTTAGTAAACCAGAGTGAGACCTTTCAGATCACTGACCGACCATACTGAGGACAATTTTCTCCAGAATTGCATTCCCATGTAAATATATATAAAATAATACATGCTGAAGAGTAAGATACCCTAGGACCCTAACAATGAAAATATTGTATCCACTGAATGTTTCAAAAGCATTCACAAAGCTGAGGAAAGGTATGGGGTGGGGAAACCAGCCACAAGAGTCAGTCAAGGGTGTCTTCAAAAAACTGGGAGAGGAATTTTGTCCTGGGGCACTCTGCTAAACCCATTTTAAAACTTGTTAGACATATTTACTTTGAACAAATGTGTCAAAAACCAGGCATGAACTAAGTACTTTCTAATTGTTTTTAGATCTTTATAAGCAGACCCATACGTATACATATAGTGCTCAATTCTCAGGAATTTTGCTCATAAACACATTTCAAAGAAAATAACATACAAAAGCAAAAACCTAGAGACTTTCAGTACTCAGTCTTAGTCTTTTTCTTTCCTTGAATCCTATAACAGTAACAGAATGAGTATCTCTGTTGGGATGTTATCTAAGTTGCTATCTCATGTAGTGGCTAACACAGACTACAAAAAAACAATGTGAGCAAATTATATGATTTAAAAAAAAAAAAAACCACAAGGCCGGGCGGTGGTGGCACACGCCTTTAATCCCAGCACTCGGGAGGCAGAGGCAGGCGGATCTCTGTGAGTTCGAGGCCAGCCTGGTCTACCAAGTGAGTTCCAGGAAAGGCACAAAGGTACACAAAGAAACCCTGTCTCAAAAAACCAAAAATAAAAAAAAAAAACCAAAAAAAAACCACAACCAAGGAAGAAAGGAGGGAGAGACATAAAAGTGGTAACCGAATATGGGGGGCAGATTTCAATACGGAAGATATCCCCAAGTGGAAGCCACAAATCACAACCCAACAGAACCACTCCTGCTTTAACAGGATAATGAACTAGGAATGTCTTCTACATTTTAAGTTGTCAAAAATGAAGGTAGTATGAAAGGTGTTCTGTGATATGCAATGCTACAATATTTATTATCTGATCCTGCACAGTTTGCCATCATGAGGGAGAAAAGAGAGCCAGTCAGTTGTAAAGTCAGTTTAAGACATACTAAGTGTGAGGCAAGAATAAAGTGTCTCAGGTTAAGATGATTATTAAAATATTGAGTTGTGGTGTTGGGTGTGTGGTTCATTGGTAAAGTGCTTGCCTAGAAGTCCTAGATTTGGTCCCTAGCCCAGTAAAAAAAAAAATATATATATATATATATATATATATATATATATATATATATATATACACACACATACACACACACAATTTAAAAAACAAATTAAGTTGTAAATTCAAGAGAAGAAAAGAAATTCACTCAACTAAGGAATATATTTGAATGGTATAGAAGGGAAACTATGTATTTATAAACATGAGATTGCTCAAGAAAGTAAGAAGAATATGGTGACTCTCAAACATTAGTTTGGGTACCCTCAGATCCGATCCTGTATCAACAGAAAAGGAGAATTTACACATGTTGGTAGATGACCAACTTAGCTGATGACCAGTTCATTTACAATGTGTAAGTTGTACAAAATAGGTGCAAAAGGATGAACAATTTCCATCTGTAGCTCAGCAAAGCCATGTGACCCGGCTCTAATCAACACTATGTGTACAGATGTACATCATCTCAAACCCTAGCAAGTGAAATCTCTTCCCACTCTGTCCATCTGCATGCTGGATGTTAATGCTCAGGGTAGTCACAGGATGCTAGACAACCCTTCTTGATTTTTTCAATGTTGAACCACCAAGAACGTAAGGTTTCTATAATAATAACTGTCATGACTTAAGGCAGTCCTCACAGAAAAGTAGCTGTTAGTGATAAAAAGAAAATCAGGAAAAGCAGTGTCAGAGGTATTAGGGGATGATACTGTTTCAGCAAGGACAGTATAAGCAGCAATGCTAAATGACATTAGTAAACACTCAAAAAGAAAATTTCAATAGCGATGTTTTGTCAAGCAAAATTTATCTCTGTAAAAAAGAGTTGTGTCCAATGAGCCCAAGAGCACTCCTACAATCAACTGACAATGCACATCAGCATAACGCATACTGAAAACTCCTGCAACAAAGAAGCACAGCTAGCCAGGAGCAGCAAGCCTCAAGGCCATGGCAGGCTTGGACTCCATAGTTAAGACCTGCCAAAGGAGAAGAGAAAAAATCAAGACACACAACAGAGACACCTGCCTCTGTTTAAGCCAGCCTTCCCATATCTGGTTGCTAAAGAAATCCTTTTTCATCCAATACACAGTGAGAATCCCTCTCACTTTTGAACATATATGTGGAAGTTTGGGCAGGAAGAGAAAGAAAGTATTATTTGTGAAAATGTCAGACAATCCCTTTTAATAATAATTACATTTTTAGTGAACAAAGGACTTGTGTAAACTATGCAAATTGTAAATAAAAGAAAGTGGCCATTTAAGATTAGGGGGACAAGGAGATAGTACACTAAAAAAAGGCAAAAGAGCACTTATAATACTTAGATCTTAGAAATGTTCTTACCTTCATCCTTATACTTTATTGTAACTTCATCATTACTCAGAAGTTTTCCTCTGAATACTCTCTGCATCATTAGCACTAATTCATCGTAAGTAATATCTTCATTATGAATGGGAATTCGGCGGATATCTTCCCCAAGCTGAGCTTTGATAATTAGCTTCCCACTTAGGTCCAACTGTCCGTTCATGGTGGACTCCAGGATGCTCTATATATACAACTCTAGGAAAAAAACTGATGAAAATAGTTTTGATGACTAAACACGTTAAAAGAAAGCAGTAGAATGTTAATCCTTAAGAAAGTACCTAACAACCAGCGGTGGCAGCCCAGGGAGGAGGCAGGAGGCAGAGGCAGGTGGATCTCTGTGAGTCGGAGGCCAGCCTGGTCTACAAAGCGAGATCCAGGATAGCCAGAGCTGTTACACAGAGAAACCCTGTTTGAAGGTATGGAGGGGGAGTACCTGTCTTGTTGTTAACATATATTCTAAATGGTCTGGAAGCATTTTATTACTAATATAATATCTATTATTACATATAGTATCCTTTTACTCATATACTCAACTACTTAAAAGTAAATTCCTGATCTTCTACCCCCCAAAATTGCCTCTCCTGAAGTTTTCATATCTGTTAGTGGCAACTCTTTTCTTCTAGTAACACCAAAAAAGACCTTGCAGCTCCCTTAATCCAATTCAATATTTTGTCTGATTTATTTTAAAATGTCTCAAATGGTCTGCTTATTTACTTCCATCCATATTCATTGTATTTTCAACAAATCGGAAGTTTGTTCTTAAATAAAATCTAAAGGCATTATACTTGGAACCTTCCAAGGAATTCCCATAGAAACAGAAAACCCTGGCATGACCCAGCCTCTGGCCTAGTATTTAACCACATTTCCTACTTCTTTCCCTTATTCACATCTGCTACACCCATGTTTAAGATTCCCCTCCCAACTCAAGGCTTTGTTTACTGTCCTTTGCCTTCAATTCTTTCACAGCCCTCATGGAACCAGACTGCTAATCACATGTCATCTGTTAGAGTTTTCCCCTAAGAATCTAACTTAAAATGGCTCCTCCTCACTATCTTCTTCTCACTTGCTTTATTTTTCTTCAAAACACTGAACACTATGAGACATTTAATTTTACTGTTCCTGTTTTGTTTACTACCTTCCTAGAGTCTAAAAGAGGCCTTGTACATTAATAGTTATTCAAACAACTCTAATGTTAACCTGGGAGAGGAGGCATGTATGAACATGAAATTAGAGCCTATTTTTCCTAAATAAGATCTCAAGAGTACTTTTTCTAATTTCCTATTTTGGAAACTCAAAGAGAAAGGACAAGTGAGTAATATTCTCATGAGCTTTCTAACAAAACTATCCACGAACAAGCTACACAACTCTATTACCTGCCGACCCACATTACCTCCAACCAGAGTGGGTGTGTATGATTAGACTGTATTCCTTCATTTTTTTAAAGATTTATTTTGAATTGTGTGTAGGTGCTGCAGGAGGCCAGAGTGTTGGGTCACTAGGAGCTGGAGCCATAGGTGGTTGTGAGCGAGCCCCCTGGTATGGGTGCTGGAAACTGAATTCAGGTCCTCTGCAAGAGCAGTACCAGCTCCTAAGAGCTGGGCTGTCCCTCTCTCTCTCCAGGTGTGCACTCTTCATTTGAAGAAGAACTACCTGTAGAGTGGGCAGGATGAGCTCAAGGCCGCCTCAACTATAAACCAAGTTCAAGATCAGTCCAAGCTACTGGGGATTCTCTCAAAAGAAAGAAAAAGGGATAAGGATACAGATCAATGGTAAAGTGCTTGCTTAGCATACAAAATGCTTTGGGTTCAATAAATACTTGGTTTAATAAAATAACTCTAAACGTGACAGAAGTAGTTACTTAATATTAACTAACTCTAAACTAAAACGTGACAGAAGTAGTTACTTAATATTAATTTGCTATAAAATTTCCCTGTCTTGGGTTTTATTTTCCTCCTACTATCTTATTTCAGGTTATTCAGTAGGACTGTCTTATGTCTTTATAATCTTAAATTCTAAACACTAAGACCTTTAATAATTCAAATTACTACTGTAAAAATGCATATTTAGGATCAAATAATGGGTTAACATCTTTTTCTCAGGGCCAAGTAATTCCGGAACATGCTTATCTATCGACACAGAATGTTCTTACCATCCACTCTTTTCATCTGATCCAAGTAAATGGCCACTGAGAGCCATCTTAGCGGTCACGGCCTCCTACTGGCCATTTTGCTTTCAATCGTGACCTTTCACTACTGGCCGCCGTTTCCTTCTCCAAAACTGACTGACTTTCTACCACTGCACTTCTCTTGCAATTACTCTGCCCTGTTCCTCTAGTGTGGAAACGTCCTCACTCAGCAAAGAACCAAACTATTCAACTTGGGAAGCTTTTAATCAATCCTAAGTTATGTCATGATCATTAAATATAAATTCCCCAACATTCCTCCCACAAATACTCCAGTTTTTCCACCTAACTCTCCCTTAAATGAATCAACCCCTTCACACCCTGTGGGAAGACTACATTTTTACTAGCAGCTCTTTAAAGGAATGGGGTAGTAAACCTAAACACAACACTACAAGGTCAAGGTAGAACAAAGCGAACCATGTTTCACAATCTGGATGCCATGCTTATCTTAATACAAAGAACACAGTGTTTTTTTTAATCAGTCTCACAATGGACTTTTCATAAGGACTGTGATAACTTAAACCTCTATAGAACCAACTCTTCACTTGCTGGCCAAATTTGTTCTCTGCCTTTAAGAAATATTTACAGAACACCTACTATAGCCCAGGTCCTAAAGTATAGTAACTTTAACAAGATGGTAAATACCCCATGCTTTCATTGACAGCCCGACAGGAAAGATCTTCAATGAATCTGCAGTTACTGCCTTCTATCTGTAGGCTATATAAACTAGCAATATACAGATTAAGGACCAGTGCTTAGTTTCAGTAAAACGTTATTCTTTTTTTTTTTTTTTTTTTTTTTGGTTTTTCGAGACAGGGTTTCTCTGTGTAGCTTTGCGCCTTTCCTGGAGCTCACTTGGTAGCCCAGGCTGGCCTCGAACTCACAGAGATCCGCCTGGCTCTGCCTCCCGAGTGCTGGGATTAAAGGCGTGCGCCACCACCGCCCGGCTTCGTAAAACGTTATTCTATATTCCCAGAAGCACCTAGAATAGTACCCGACATACAAAAGCTACTTAAGGAGCTTTGTTTCCTGCACAAAGGGGCCAATGAGCAAAGACACTTGGAGAAGAAAGCTGGAACATTAAGTCAGTTCCAGATTCATCTTCTTTATGTGGCCAAAGGGGGCGCCTCATATCAACATAGACTCCCAAGTAAGACAAAGTTCCAGCACAAACGTACTTCCCAATATACCCTCTGATGGGACTGGGAAGCACTGAGTTCCAATGCACCTAAAAACTACCTATCATTACCATCTGCTGTGGATGGCCCAGACTCACTTCTAGTGTTTCCTAGTGACTGTAAACTCCCTGCAGTCTTTGCAAAAAGCTGACCCCTACTGTTGCAGTGATCTCAGGTAAATACATAAGCCTCGCAGTTATTTCCTCATCCACACAGGTTTTTAAGTGCGGTCCTCCTTTTCTCTAACAAGGTAGAGATTAACACGAATTAGTTCCCAGAACTGTTGGTGAGATCCCTATGACATTTTTTGACCTATATCTAGTGGCTGTCTTACTACTCCTGAAGTCCAGAAGTGACTCAACCACTAACGTGCGCCCCCCCCCCCCCTCCATCCAGGAAACTTTCTGATTCCTGGGATAAACCGATGTGCCCAAGGACATAAAGCATGCCCCCTACACTAGGAAATATGACCAACAGGGAAGCCTCGGGCTCCTCTTGCTTACCCTGGTGATAAGTCCCTCATAAAATTCAGAAGCTACACACACCCACTAAGCTTCCTTAAAAAGGACAGACAGACAGAAAAAAAAAAAAAACCTGATTATTCTAAAACTGCCAAGAGGCCTCAAGATCTGTCTGACATGCCTGTAAGCAAGAATGGTAACCATGTTCCCTGGCAGTTATGCGAGCTCAAGGTCCCCCACGGCGCACTCTTTTCACACGATAAAGGAAAGTGATGGCTGAATTTGTATAACCTTTGAGACCAGGTATCTACAGCTCTTCCAACCGTGCCCAGAGACAAAACTTACAAAAGTTAGGAACTGTCATCACTGAAACTGGGTAAGGCCTCAAGAGGACACCAAGCGTGACAGCGTAGGACCGACGATTGGGGTTCCTTCCTGTGACCCCAATCTCTGTATTCCCTGTGGGGTCCACGCTCCGCCACCCAAACCACTCTCTAGGGGCTGGGCACCCAACGCTCCGGGCCTCCTCAAGCCCCTCTTTCTCTCTCTCCCTGGAAGGATTCAACTCTCCACCTTCCAAAAGCCACCCTGGAGCCAGGCAGGGTGAGGCACCCAACGCCCCGGGCCTCCTGAATCCCCCCTTTCTTCAAATCGGGTTAATTCCACCCTTGGGGGGGAGGTGGGGGGACCCCGAGGGTACAGGGACCCGGGGATCAGCCGATCCAAACGCCCTCCAGGCCAGGCCAGGCCGGATCGGGTCGGGCCGGACCGGGCGCCCTCCCCTCCCCCTCCCGGCCGCCCCTCCCCCGCGCAGGGCGGCTCGGCG